GTTTTTATAGTATAATGCTGAATTTATTAATACAGGAATGTTTTCTGTATTAATAAATTCAGCATTTTAACCTACTGATGTTCGATAAAATTTCTGTACAGAGCTGATTGTAATAGATTACTGTACGCATATTTTTCTGAAATGAAATTTCTTTTCGTAACTTTATAATTCGTGGCATCTATCCAGAAGCGGATCTACAAAATTTTCAAAGGGACAGCCAAAGCATCTCTTAAATATATATATAACGATGTTTAAAAATTGTATAGGAAGAAGCTACTCGTGTTTCATTCAAAATCAGTAAGAAACGGAATCAAATTGTAATTAGAAATACTTAACTGTATCTTACAAATTTTATAAAATTATAATTAAAAATCAATTTCCTAACGGATATATTAGAATTAGAAGCTGTCAATCTCCATTTTCGAATTAAGATAGTTTATGTAAACAGTTTTAATCGAACACGGTATTTATATTTCAGATATATTAGCCTATTCACAATTTATTATTTAATCATTGTAATAAGATACGTAATGCGGTTATAATAAAATATTGTGCGATTATTTTCATATAATTTAAATTAATATTTATTTATTTTTTAGAAAATACAAGGGAACCGGCGCTTCCACCGCTTCCAATGACAGCACGCCACTGAATAATACACAACACGGGATATCAAACGTTGCATCACTTTATTAATTACACGCGTAACATATAAAGCAGTGAAACAAACACTACAGTTCGCTATGCAGCACTTCAGAAACAAAAATAAGTCATTCTCTTACTCGGGAGATCTTAGCATTATGTAATGTTTTCATTAACACCTCACTCTTGTAACGATTACCTGCATACCCACCACCCATATCTGCACTACATAATCTATGGTGTAAAATTAGTCTAGAATCGATTAATTTTATGGAAGAAAACCTTTCAAACAGCCGTAGTCCGTAAACTGCACACATGCTGGGCTGTGATTGGCTCATGTATTTAAGTGACTCGTAAAACACGAATTCATATAACACGGTAGATACGTTCTAGATATATTCTAGACTAATTTGACACAACATTTCCAAAACACGTATAATTTTTTGGGAATAATCCATATAAACTATGCTATAAACAAAAAATTGTAGGATTACTTACCGAGTGTGCACCGTTCGACGACACCATTGCTGAAGCTTGTTTTCGTCGCGGAGCGGCGCATCGAACGGCGGGCGCGTGTTTTCTGATGAGTTATTTTTCTGCGAAGAATTCGCTGAACTTTGGAGACATCATTAATAGAAATAATTTTTATGGCCGTTAAATAATAAATGTTTTTTAGTAGGTGCAGTGCTCATTTAAACGCAACGGTTTGTGCAATATCCGCTATTGGTCTAGATTCGACCAATCCTGTCGCGACACGAGTCGGCGATGACGTTTTACCGTATTATACGAGTCTCTTTTAACGTGTTTTACGAATACGATCGCAGTTTTTTCGCCGTGTTATACGAATCCGTGTTATATGAACCCGTGTTATAGGGGTCTACTGTACAGATAACATTTAAGCTTATAGAGGAAGGNACTAAATAACTCTACTTAAAATTGGGTACATTAAGCTTTCTAATACTTTTTACAGATTTCTTTTTCTATTACAAATACTAATAAAGTTATAAGTTTTTGAATTGCACACGCACTTTACGGACACTCTGTATTTATTCGAATCGCCTGCTACCTTGAGAGGGTCAAGAGATGCAGTAGCAGGACTGTCGAGAGGAAAGAAAACTGGAGAGATGTTCTTAGGCATGGAAAAATTTAGGGATCCTTAGTGGTTCCTACCCTTATAAAATTAACGCTATTTTTATTACATAAGATAAAATCTTTAAGACTGCTTTTTATTAATAAAGAAACATTATACATATTTCATTTGTTTAAAAATACAATGGATAAAGAAGCAAAAGGAGCATGCTCTACCCTCTGGAATTGAATCGAGATAAATTGCTTTTATTAAATTATTATAAGCTCACACGTCTTTGATTAGAATAATTTATTACGTCTAATGAACCGTTAAAACAGTAAAGCAAATAATGGATTTTTATATAATATGTTGAGAATTAATTTATGATTTGAAACTTTTAAATCAAAATAAACGTTAAAAAATTAAGTAACAAATATAATATTTGATTTAATACGTTTATATTCATTTGTAAAAATAAATTAACAAATTAATTGAAATCTGCACTTTGCTGCGGGATCTGTATTTATATATCGTATTATCTTCACATTATAAACATGTAGATCCACGGAATAACTGTCAAAATGACGCCTAATGTGCACTATTGCACGACACATGTTCAATGCAGGAAATACGTATGTGTATATACTACGTATATAACTTAAGCACATATGTATTTCCTGTGTTGTGCATAGTTGTTTAATAAGTGCTTCAAAATTTAATTCAGTTTCAAAATGTTCCATAAATGATCATAAAATCATGAAAGTGTTCTTAATTGAGATTGAAAAACAACAAATTTTCAAACACAAAGGATTTACCTATGTAACACTTATGTCATTCATGATGATAATGGCACATTTTCCGAACACTTCTTCTATATAATGACTACTTTAAAAACATTTCTCACTTTTCGAACTCTTAAGGAACGCATTATATGTTCTGAATACAATCCTAATGTGCAAATCCTACTCACGATTAATCCACCAACACTGCAAATCATAGCATGCTTAATCCTTAAGTGTGCTAGGATTTGAAGTGTAGTTTTGATTTGTACGAATCAATGGACTATTATTAATATCAGGTATCGTTTTTCCTTATTTATTCTTTATACAGAGCTCTTCTTAATCTTTAAACAAGCAAATGTATATTATGACATCACAATGTCAGACTGCAATTTTTAATCATGTTGTAACTTAAGAAATGTCGTGACTTCCGGTAATAATAAGATTATTATTATTTGTTTAAAAACTGCAATGTAGCACAGTAATCAACACATGGCATAACTCATTCATTTATTCAAGCTTTTGTTGAATAAATGAATGAGTTATGCCATGTGTTGATTACTGTGCTACATTGCAGTTTTTAAACAAATAATAATAATCTTATTATTACCGGAAGTCACGACATTTCTTAAGTTACAACATGATTAAAAATTGCAGTCTGACATTGTGATGTCATAATATACATTTGCTTGTTTAAAGATTAAGAAGAGCTCTGTATAAAGAATATATAAGGAAAAACGATACCTGATATTAATAATAGTCCATTGATTCGTACAAATCAAAACTACACTTCAAATCCTAGCACACTTAAGGATTAAGCATGCTATGATTTGCAGTGTTGGTGGATTAATCGTGAGTAGGATTTGCACATTAGGATTGTATTCAGAACATATAATGCGTTCCTTAAGAGTTCGAAAAGTGAGAAATGTTTTTAAAGTAGTCATTATATAGAAGAAGTGTTCGGAAAATGTGCCATTATCATCATGAATGACATAAGTGTTACATAGGTAAATCCTTTGTGCTTGAAAATTTGTTGTTTTTCAATCTCAATTAAGAACACTTTCATGATTTTATGATCATTTATGGAACATTTTGAAACTGAATTAAATTTTGAAGCACTTATTAAACAACTATGCACAACACAGGAAATACATATGTGCTTAAGTTATATACGTAGTATATACACATACGTATTTCCTGCATTGAACATGTGTCGTGCAATAGTGCACATTAGGCGTCATTTTGACAGTTATTCCGTGGATCTACATGTTTATAATGTGAAGATAATACGATATATAAATACAGATCCCGCAGCAAAGTGCAGATTTCAATTAATTTGTTAATTTATTTTTACAAATGAATATAAACGTATTAAATCAAATATTATATTTGTTACTTAATTTTTTAACGTTTATTTTGATTTAAAAGTTTCAAATCATAAATTAATTCTCAACATATTATATAAAAATCCATTATTTGCTTTACTGTTTTAACGGTTCATTAGACGTAATAAATTATTCTAATCAAAGACGTGTGAGCTTATAATAATTTAATAAAAGCAATTTATCTCGATTCAATTCCAGAGGGTAGAGCATGCTCCTTTTGCTTCTTTATCCATTGTATTTTTAAACAAATGAAATATGTATAATGTTTCTTTATTAATAAAAAGCNATTATATTAATTATATATAAATTATGTACTTAATATATAATTATATATAATTAATATATAATTATATGTACAGTACCTAATTTATATATAATTATATGTACAGTACCTAATTTATATATAATACTGTACAGACAATAGTAATCTCTCTGTAGCGTGGCGCTACGGACGGTGGGAAAGTAGTTCGGCTGCCCGATGACGTTTTACGTAATTATAGGAGTTTTTTACGGGTTTTTACGGATACCGTTGCAATTTTTTTGCAGTTTTATAGGAATCGTAATTATAGGGGGGTCTACTGTATATTCCAAATTTTCATAAATTAATTATTAATAGCACTACTGTAAATATATATTTTACTAAATTCTTACGAAAGTGTTATTAATTAGATTAAATTTTCACAACAGGAACCATAAATTTCTTTATTAGTTGCATTTTTTACGAGGCAAAATTCACGTTGAATTATTTAACGACCGTATTTTGTCCCTTACGAGCCCTACAATGAGGAACAGGAGACAAAATACTAAAAATTTTTTCCTATTTTAGGATCAGGCCCTATTTCTCAACCCTTATTTAGCCTTACTGAGATTGAAATCAAAGCTACAATCCTGTTGTGCCTCACTGGGATTGGGATCAAAACACTACAATCCTGTGATGATTAGTAATTGAATTCAAAATAATAGCAGATTCTACTAGTTTCACAGACCTGTTAGTAAGAGATGGAATTTAACATTCATAAAATAAACACTCATGAAAAAAAAAAAAAAATTCTCGATCTAGCCCAGATTAGGTTCTTTATAATGGCATACGCACTCTAATCCGGCCATTACTGCAATAAACGAATAATCTACAAGTTTATATATAGGGTGTCCACGTAAGTCCGGTCCCACTCACTAATTAAATTATTGGCCCCGTTGTCTGGTAAAATTGTTTTTACACAACTGGACAAGCAAACCAATGACATGGCCCGTTTCAAATGAAATGGGTCATGTAATTGGTATCAATAATTTAATCATTCGGTGAATGGAGCTAATTTTACACGGGATTCCCTGTATAATAATAACAGAAGTACTAAATACGCGTGTGTTTTAATTTTTAATTCTTAAAAATGACACAATATTTTTAAAATAAAGTTTTTTATTAATACATTTAATGCATTTTCTGCAATATAAAATCTATGAGATTTTGTATAACAGCTATTTACAATAAAAAAATACAACAGAGAGATATAAGATATATACATTTTGAAGTTTCTTGTGCATAAATTGAGCATACTTTCAGTATTTGTTTTATACAGATTGAACGAGATTAGTTAAAGATATATTCTCCGCAAGTGCTATATTCTTATTGTTATCTTCTTCGACTTTCTTCGTTGTACGGTCGACTGTACTTATTGTACAAGGATTGTACGAACGATTAGGTAATTGGTTTACGAGTTCAAGCTAGAAATATAAAAACAAAGAAGTAAATACAGATGAATATAAACTTTTTTTCAATATAAAATACTTTTTATTTATTTAGTCCTCCTTAGTCATATGCAGGAGCTGAACTGTACGGAATGTACGTGTATTTTTAGGTTAATTCGAATTTTTACTTGTTTATAATAAATTCGCGTTAAAATAAATTAATATAATATAAGTAAAATTAAACCTGATGAAGGATTGTAATTTTAGTGGATTGGATCGATGGAACAAGACGTGAGCAATGACTCCAGGGGCCTTAGTCTCGAGTTTTTCGTGTTACAACTCCCAACGTGTTGAAGGTGTCACGTGGTACCATCTCACACACTGACGTCAAATTGGTAGTCTCGAGTTCTAACTCACGTGCTTTCCCATCTCACCATGCGAGTTGCTACTCACGTTGAGTCGAGCATGTGAGATCGCTACACGAAAGTAAAAATGGCTGACGGATACGCAATTCTTATCGCTATCGAAGAGTTAGAAAGAGCCGAAAGACGTTGTTTGAGAAGGCAACGAATTTTTCGACCACGAGTAGATGACATTTCTTTTCGTGTCAAGTCAATACTAATAAAAAAAACTTTAATTCATAATTGATAAATGTATACAGCAAATTTTTCTAAAAATAAAAAGAAGTATCTAATTCATCGAAAAAGAGTATTAAAATGATAGTAAATTATATGTATAGATTATTAAAAGCATAGACACTACATTAAGATTATTTATTAATCAGAAGTGTTAAGTTCTGATTAATAAATAATCTTAATAGACAAAACAATTTAAGAAATAGATCAAGGAAGAAAACTATATGAAGAAAGGATTAAGTTTAAATACATTTTCCATTACATAACGGATTTTTTAGGTTCAACACACGCAATTAATTTTTCAAATAATTCTCTCCACAAAGCGAATTGTCTTTTTCTTGTAAATTCGTTGTCGAATTTTCCGCTGTTCATTTTCTTATTATTTTCTATATATGTTACTAATATTTCTTTTTGTTCTTCGCTTATTTTTTAAAATAAAACATTCGAGGTTTTCATTTTGTTTCTGCGTACTATATTGCCACAAGACAACTTTTAACTGTAGCACGTGTAAACTAATTCGCGTTGATTTGTTTACAACTTGTTACAGTTAAGTTGATTGGTCGAATCATTATAGTCGCAAACCCAGATGCATTGTAAATAATCCCATCATGCTTATCGACAAACGTAAACAAGTGAATATGACCTACTTCCGCTCGCCTTTCGAGTTCACTCGAAGGGTCTAACTCGAGACTACCGATTATGTGAGTCATAGTAACACGAGTGAGTTCGATGACGTCAGTTCGAGTACAACACGAAAAACTCGAGACTAAGGGCCCAGGGGGGGAGTTTTTATGAGAAATTGGCCTTTAGGTACGTGAATAAAACATGGAAAACTCTACGTGGTCACCAGTTAATGAGGTGAGAAATCGTGGCATCACCAAACGGGCTAGCATATGAAGTTTACTCCAGTGTTCAGTTGTGTTTACTCCAGTGTTCAATGTGTTTATTCCAGTATTAAGTGATGTTTTCCACATGGCCACTGTTGAGCCGATTTTAATGAATTGATTGATTAGTTGATCTAAATCGTATTTTCTCCCTCCGAGACACGATTTAGATACAAATGTGTTTAATTCTTGAACAGATTTATATGCGAATGTGCAGATAAAGAATTTATGTAAAGAGATGAATGAAAGAGCAAAACAGAATATTTTTTAAATAATAAGATTTATACAGTTTTATCATGTGTATATATATATAGGGGAGATCGGGGCAAGATCGGCATGTTAAGCTTTACTTAAATTTTGTGTAATAAATACTGCTGTAAACTGAAAAAAAAAGCTTTGCATATTGTCTATTGGAATGTTACCTTACTATAGAACTGGTTAAAATCAGTTTGGAAATAAAAATAATTAAAATAATTACAACTTTACAAGAAGAGAGAAATTGACGAAGTTGCCCCGGGTATAGGGGCAAGATCGGCAACTTCTCTCTTTTTGTAAAGTTGTAATTATTTTAATTATTTTTATTAAAGTTGCCCCTGGTATAGGGGCAACAGTAACGGGGCAAGATAGGCACGTATATAAAATTATGTTATTAACAATGTATAAGTTGGAATTCACTATTAAAACAAAGAAATACAAATCCAACACCCATTTAATATTATTACAACGAAATGCAAGTTCAAAGACATATATACATGAATAACAAATGCAAACATGTTTTCATTTATCATCTGTTTGATTTTTATCCTTTGCTTCTAATGTGGCTTTATGTTGTCGATCTTACCCCGCTAGTCATGATTTCGAAAAATTAAGTACAACCCTGAGAACAGAATGCCAAGCCACGATCTGGCCACGTGAATAAGTTGAAGTTACATCCTTCTAACAGGAAAAGTAACTTTCGTTATCATGGAATTATTACAAAACCTGCCAATTCAATATAAATGGAAAAAAAATATTATATGGAATTGAACGAAAATGAAAATTTGCTTGATAATTCAACTACGCTTGTTGGAGAACAATAAAAACACTACACTCAACAAGCCACCAATAAAACTCAACTGCCTAACCTATAACCAAAGTCTCCTTTTAATTTGTTTTTAAAAAAAAGCGCTTGACAAACTTGCCCCGCATGCCGAAGTTGTCCCGATCTCCCCTATATATATATTAATTAAAAACGAATCAATTAATATATTAAATAATAAACTCAATTTACCTTTGGACACGTAACAATAACATTTTTAAAATCTTTAACAAACGTGAAGAAATAAATTGCAAACAGCATAGTAATAGCCCATTCTGACAAACTGCTTACGATATGTAGTTCATAGCCCTAAAATCAGATCAAATTTTCACAATAAAATGACAAAATTAACTCAAATTACCACTATAATATATTAAATATGTATATATAATTCTTACACCCTCTCCTGGAGCCCACTTTGGCATATCTTTAATTGACTTAGTAAACATGAAATATGAAATTATTCCAAATAATCCACCTGATTTTTTAATTAAGGAGATAAAAACTTTAATTAAAGATAAAAATATCATTTATAAAATGTTAAAAGGATACAGATTGATGATACAAATATACTTAAAATTGCCAAAAATAATCTAAATCGAGCCATTTGTAGTGTATTTATATGAGGGCACGTCATATAAGAAATAATTGCTTGTAAGGTAAAATATGCCGTTCCTCCGACGTAACATGAAAAAGCTCCTATCATGTGAGGTACAAGTGCTACAGTTACCTAAAAATATATATATTATTTGTCATATTTTTAATAAAATACATTCTGGCATTCTGTAAATAATGGATCTTGTGTTAATACAGTAATTAGGAATACAGTCAAACTTCAGTTTTCGAACGACTCACCGGGTCAACTCCCTATATTAAAGAAAATGGACGTTTAAGTGACATCCAAGAATTCGTCTTTAAAGGTTTTATTATATATAATACAGTATTATATTACTTTCCATTTATAGGTATTTTTAGTAAGAAATACAGCTTAAAACAGTAAAAAAATATATACTTTATTTTGGGGATTAGGAACAGATTAATCCACTTAATATTGCTTCTTGTGAGAAAATAAAGAAAATTTTTGTCCGAGGTTTGACTGTGTCAGAAAATAACGTATTGAATCGATAGGAAGTCGGGATTAATTCGTAGCCATTTCAAATATATAGGCCTAATTGTAGAGAGAAAGGAAAAGGTAATTTACCTGAAAATTTGCGACTAATGATGCTCCTACGGAAGTGTATAATGCGAACCAAAGACTAATTTTATTAAAACGTTTCACATTTTTATAATTTGGCAAATTGGGATCATGTAGATATTTTTTATTCACAAGAAGATATCTCACATACATAGTTAAAAAAACTAAAATTAAAAAGAAAATTAGCGTTTTCAGATGTAAAAGTAAAATAACTTTAAATGTAATTTACATTGTACTTACTAAATACACTTCCTACATTCAAAAATTGTCCAAATATCATACTTTCTGGATGAGTGGTTCCTGTATCACTGATATAAGGGAAGAAAGGTCTTGCATGATCCAAAAGAACTGCTATAGTGTATCTGAAAGATATAATATTACACATCATTTTTTATATCATATAATACAAAAGATTAAGTCAATGATGACCAAAGAGTTTGTAAGATAAAAGAAGGCAAACCCCCCATAGATGCCTAAATAACTTGTTAGCTCAACTAATCAGATTGCTTGCTTGATACTCCCTCGGTACAGTTAATATAAAAACTTCGGCCGCAACCTCACCATTATATTTAACAAGAGATGGCGGCCTTCTGCCGAATTGGTTGGTATCTGTTTAGAATTATAGCTCAATAAAGAATCCAGCTGTTTGTTTTGTATTTGAAATAACTATATTCTACTAATCTGTTTTTCTGTTCGTTACATAAAATTAATTACTCATTTACAGAATTATTAAAAGATTTAAAACATAAAAAAGCACATTACTCACGTGATAATAAATGTAACAAGCAGAATAACAGCCACTAGAGCAGGCAGGAAATATAATCTTTTAATTGCCATTCTTAATTTTTACCTGTTGATAATGATTATTATTAATTAAAATGTAATAAATAAATAAAAACGATTTTAAAAAATTAAAAAGAAATAAATATATATAGGGGAGACCGGGGCAACTTCGGCATGCGGGGCAAGTTTGTCAAGCGCTTTTTTTTAAAAACAAATTAAAAGGAGACTTTGGTTATAGGTTAGGCAGTTGAGTTTTATTGGTGGCTTGTTGAGTGTAGTGTTTTTATTGTTCTCCAACAAGCGTAGTTGAATTATCAAGCAAATTTTCATTTTCGTTCAATTCCATATAATATTTTTTTTCCATTTATATTGAATTGGCAGGTTTTGTTATAATTCCATGATAACGAAAGTTACTTTTCCTGTTAGAAGGATGTAACTTCAACTTATTCACGTGGCCAGATCGTGGCTTGGCATTCTGTTCTCAGGGTTGTACTTAATGTTTCGAAATCATGACTAGCGGGGTAAGATCGGCAACATAAAGCCACATTAGAAGCAAAGGATAAAAATCAAACAGATGATAAATGAAAACATGTTTGCATTTGTTATTCATGTATATATGTCTTTGAACTTGCATTTCGTTGTAATAATATTAAATGGGTGTTGGATTTGTATTTCTTTGTTTTAATAGTGAATTCCAACTTATACATTGTTAATAACATAATTTTATATACGTGCCTATCTTGCCCCATTACTGTTGCCCCTATACCAGGGGCAACTTTAATAAAAATAATTAAAATAATTACAACTTTACAAAAAGAGAGAAGTTGCCGATCTTGCCCCTATACCCGGGGCAACTTCGTCAATTTCTCTCTTCTTGTAAAGTTGTAATTATTTTAATTATTTTTATTTCCAAACTGATTTTAACCAGTTCTATAGTAAGGTAACATTCCAATAGACAATATGCAAAGCTTTTTTTTTAGTTTACAGCAGTATTTATTACACAAAATTTAAGTAAAGCTTAACATGCCGATCTTGCCCCGGTCTCCCCTATACAACTCATCATTTTATATTATAACATTTCAAATAAAATTTTACAAAAAAAAAAACTATAAAGAATTTTATTATTACTAAATTAGACATTTAAAAATACAAGTCGACCCCCCTATAACACTGTTGATTTTTCCGTTTTATATGAATTCCATGTTGTACGAATCACTTAGACTTTACAAATACGTGTGCCAGGCTGTGAACGGTTCACGTATTTGTAAAATCTAAGTGACTCGTACAACATGGAATTCATATAAAACGGAATAATCAACAGTGTTATAGGGGGTCGACTGTACTGTTTATATTTACAATATAAGTAAGGAGAGAGTAAATATTATTTTCTAAATTAGAATATATTGGACTTTATACGGGGTGTTCGACAAAAAACGCATTATAGGAGCACCCGACAAAAAAGAATGCCATCCAGCATAGCACGAAATACACGTTTTCTGTCATTTCTCGGTATGTGGAAAAAATCTGGCTGATATATATACAATTTATATAAGTAATCTAAATCTATATATGAAGTCCAATTGATGCTTCAATTTTTTATTTACACGAATCATAAAATAATATGTGATTGCACCCAAAATAGTCTACTCTGAGTTACAAGCATGGCATGCAGTTGTATGGGTATTGATAATTTCGTATCAATGGTACAGATCATTTTTTCTGCGTTGTGTTTGCTTGTCTGTTCTATCGACAATTCGATTTTTGGGAAGAAAATTCCTGTATTCGAACAAGCGTGAGAAATGCGATTTTCGGGTGCGTCTGAAAATGTGAAGTGAATCAACGACATTGTAAATACAATTGTCCAATACACAGGAGTGTCTCGTTCTATCGTCGTCCAATGTAAAAGCACGAAAGACAACAATAAACGAATTAACAAAAAGTCTAGCAACGAGTTGTATAACTTTTCCGGCAAGAGTTAAAAATTGCGTGCGGCTTCGTCTATTACGATATTTTATTTAAAAAGTGTTTATATTATTAATTATTATAAAATAACAAAATGCTTAGATTAGTTTCATTTTAAAAAACAATTGTAAATGCTAATAACGAGTAAATTCTTCATTCCGACCCTACTCCAGATATGACACATTACCCTTCATTATATTTCCACTCCCTCGACCTTTAACTACCAAAATTTAATAGAATCAGTCCACTTAATGCACGAACCTCTCTGAATAATTGCATAAATTTTCGACAAAAGGAACAGGAATTATTAAGCTTCAAAATGAATGAACAAAATCGCTCCCCTCACACAAATACACACAAATACAACACACAAACATGCAAACATACGAAAAAAAATCTTTTGCAATTCACGACGTTCCAAATTTCCCTAAGTCCAAAAATGTGAAAATTTTGGAAGAGGGTCTCATAAAATCGTAAAAAGTTATGTGTCTTGAAGTTTGCTACATTTTATAACGCCAAAACTCGTGGTTGTAATTAATATGTTATATAAGAATATTTAGATGCTAATTTAAAATTATCGTGAAATTATTTTAAAAATATAAAAAATAATCTTTAAAAATATCCAACGAATACTCTTAATAATTATATTAAAAACAATTTCAAAAATAGATATAAAATAAATATTAATATAATGATAATAATGTGGCGCCATCTTTTGATAAATAATAAAATTAAATAAGGATAACAATTTTTTTTTATTTGTTGGTCTTTCTTCAATTTCAACTAATTAAATATAAACACCTACAGAGATTTGAACCGATTAACGTTATACTAATGTTGTGAATGAATTATATTTCTCTCTAAAGTTATTTTTTTTAAATTCCTTTATATTTTTAACTACATCAGATCTGGAGATTAGTTTGGTCAATCCTCCTTTGAAGATCTTCACCTAATATTATCATAATTATTTCATTATTAGTATTAGAGAGTCTATTAAGAGTGTCTCTTTCCCTTGAGATATAAAAAAAAATCTAGTATTATTCTTTAAATTGAATCTCGATTCATCTATAAAGAGAAGGTCGCTGATCTGTTGATCTAAACCCGGAATGCAGGTAATGTATGAAACGAGCACTTCTGTAAGAAGAACTGAGGGATATAAGACTTGAGATTTTACAGTCATTCTGATAGAACCTTTGATATGTGGTTTATATTGAATTCTCTGAAGCCATCCTAATGGCTTCAGAGCCTTCAAGCTTTTGTGGCCTTTGCACTCTGAAATTTCTCGTTGTGAAGGCAAGATATCAATAGTCACGACATTCGTTACGCTATCTTGTTCAAGACATCTGAAATATATTAATCTGTAAAATTAAATTAAATGGGTAGTAGAAGAATTAATATTTCAGTATCTGCGCGCTAAGTAATAGTTTTTCCTTATTTTAAGTTCAATAAAATCGCAATTGTTATCCTAAATATTTGTATTTTGTCTGTCGAGATTGTACACAGAAGTAATGTTTTCTAACTCAGAAAGATATTATACAGGGTGAGACATTTAATCTGAAAAAATGAAATATCTTCAAGTTTTCAAAAACTTAACAAATGTTCAAAATGATGGCCTTCAACCCAGCGTTGTAGTCGTGGTACTTTTTTTTAAGCCGGACAAAGCCTGTGTACTATATTTCACATTTTCAGATTAAATGCTTCATCCTGTATATTCCTAAAGATACAACTTCTTTCGTATGACGTTCTTTCTTCATATTTGAATGAAATCATTAGTTATTTCCATTTCGGAATTTAAAATTAGGTTAGTTACACATGAAAACTAGAGTCTCTGTAAGTAGAGTAATGACTTGCCCCATATTGATACCGAAATGAACGAGTGGTTAGAGTGGTACCATCACTCTGGGAAACCCAGGATAGAATCTGGATTTGATCTCGGCTCCCCAGAACCCCCAGACCGCTTTCGAAAAGTTCCTGGGGTTTTCGGGGGGGGTTGGCTCATCTCGGATATATTGGCACATATTTTATGTGTGACTTGTGAGATTCAACCTAGGATGAACCAAACGCCATACAGCCTATATTTAGTACATATATTCATGTTATAGCCATTTTCTTCTTAATTTTTAAAAAAAATGTTTAGTGAAACGAATGGCTACAATACAGGGTGCCCAAAAGCAGTAAACTCGTGTAATTTGTTGATTACAAAGCACTTTCTTACGTTCGTTACAATAGAAATTATAATATTTATTAGAAGCATATATATTGAAGATTATTTGTGAAATATACCATCTTTCACGTCTCGATAGTGAAGAATTCGAGACACCACCATTTTCATAACTTTCTCTAAAGTTTCTTATGGCATATCACAAATTGTAGTGCGAATGTTGTCTTCGAGAGCAGCAATTGCTCTTGATTTATACACGTACATCCTTTCTTTGAGGAAGCGCCAAAAGTAATATATCACCAGATCTAACGATCTTGAAAGCCACATGATGTTTCCATTCCGCGACATCGCACGATTTGGAAACATTTCTTGAAGCAATGACATTGTCTGCATTGCTTCAAGACTTATGTTTAATCTCCAAACTCACATCACCAACGTGCAACACAAAACAATGACATAATTAGATAACACTCGTTTTTATCCTTACTTCAAATGGGTTTACTACTTTGGGACATCTTGTATAACTTTAACGTGTATTATGCAAGTTGCATGTATACACAAACAGTCGAAATGAATAAATGCCCATGTTTTGTTGGTCCTTGTATTCGCAGTTTCCCTGTTAAGGTGGCCATTTTTTTTTTACTAAATGAACATCACTTGCTATAACGGGCTTGCTATAAAAAGGCCCTCTTGAATACTATGCGTATCGTCAAATGACAGAACGGACACAAAGTCTCACGCTCGAGATTGCATTCTGTGCTAATTATTTGTTTGGTACTTCATTACGCTATACAGGGTGAGTCGCGTAACCCGAAACAGTAAAATATCTCGAAAATAAAAGTGTTTCAGAGAAAAATATTTAAAAATAACATTTGTTTTTTGGAAGAGGAAAAAGAAAAAGAGTACGTATTTTGTTCGACGATAGACGACCTTTCCTGTAAATT